GATATTACATGGCCATGATTCCCAATTCTCCATCTAGCTGCTAAACATTACCATGTTACAAGAATTTGACATAAATAGAGGATATTACATGGCCATGATTCCCAATTCTCCATCTAGCTGCTAAACATTACCATGTTACAAGAATTTGACATAAATAGAGGATATTACATGGCCATGATTCCCAATTCTCCATCTAGCTGCTAAACATTACCATGTTACAAGAATTTGACATAAATAGAGGATATTGCATGGCCATGATTCCCAATTCTCCAGCTAGCTACTAAACATTACCATGTTACAAGAATTTGACATAAATAGAAAATATTACATGGCCATGTGAGGAAACAAATTTTATCTTTGAGTGCTGTAAGTATCTCTCACGAGTGAGCGAAGGGAACGAGTGAGATAGTTTCAACACTGAAAGATAAATTCAGATCCCCAAGCAGCTATGTAATGTTCTGTTTATTTTATAGATACTGACGAAATTTCCACATAAAACATAACTTTTTTGAAGAATCGGTCGCATGCCTGAGCGGGAAGCTCTCTTGTAATTGGCTTATCATGTTAGTAACCATGGCGACATCAATATCGTCACATGCGAACGATAAAAATAGCATCTTCACTGGAAGCAATGAAGATATGATTTTTCAGTAAAAGGAAAAGTCCTTGTCTCTCATCGGTATCTATATAATAAGATCAAGATAATAACTGCTATTTGATAAGTTTGAGTTTTCTCATCACCTGTTTGCTGGATTGTGTGTGGATATTATAGGGAGAAGTTACATGTTGATCACTTCTGGGAGTTAACAGGTTAAAGGGACAGTTGCAATATTATCAACCTTATATGGAGGAATCTTTTCCAACCCCTCCCTGTTGTGTGTCATAATAAATTGTAAATTAATACTTCTTTGGAATTAACAGTGATGAGAGGCATGGAAAACCAGGTTTTGCAAATGAAAAGAAACCACAGGAGGAAGATGAAGAAGAAGATTTAAATGACACAAATTATGATGAGGTACATCAACAGGGATATTAATATTTCTGTAATAACTGTCAGACTTGGTGAACCAGGGATCACTTTAATGTGTTCTTGGGAAAGAATGATTGGTTAATAATAGCTAGAAAAGTCATTGGTCTGTCAAAATTTTAGTCTGATCCCGAAATCTCATCAACCTTTGTAATGACTCTCCAAATCTGGTTTATTGTAAAATGTTTTGACAATTTTTTTTTTTTTTACTGTGACAACTCTGATAAAAGTTTGCAGGATATGGTGGAAGCTTGTTCTCCAGCTGTCCTTATGAGAAAGATGATGAGGAAGCAGATGCCGTTTATGATTCCATTGATAAGAGAATGGACGATAGAAGAAAAGAGAGAAGGTATTGATCCTCTGCAGTGGAGGCGTGGTGGCCTCATGGTTAGAGCGCTCGACTCCGGATCGAGTGGTCCAGGCTCGAGCTTGGCCCGGGACATTGCGTTGTGTTCTTAGGCAAGACACTTTACTCTCACAGTGCCTCTCTTCACCCAGGTGTATAAATGGGAACCTGCAATTTAATGCTGGGGGTAACCCTGGGATGGATTGGCATCCCATCCAGGGGAAGTAGAAATACTCCTAGTCGCTTCATGCTACAGAAACCGGAGTTAAGCACCGGCCTAAGGGGCCACTAGGCTCGTAAACAGACTTTACTTTTACATTGATCCTCTACGTCTTCTCAGATTGGACGTAAAGCTGGCGGTCCCGTCTCCTGCATCTGTCAATTAGTTAATTTCAGCAGGGGATGTTAAAGAACCCATATCACGAGGTTACTGTGATGTGGTCTGGCCTGTTTACTGGGAATGGGGGGAGGGGGCATCTGTAAAATTTCCTCTTTATTTATTGTAAACTGCCGCCGGCAGTCTGGAAAAGTCCCCCGCACAGTGTTGTAAAGCGCATTAGAGCATTTACATGGAAATGCGCTATAGAAATTGATCTATATTAGTATTATTATAAGGTATTGATCCTCTACGTGGAGAATAGTTGCTGTGTACAGCTTACTTTGTGTGGGGCATTGTTATTGGATGTTGTGAGTTTAGGAAGTTACAGGGTTCATACATGTCTTGAAAACCCTTGAAAACCCTTGAATTTGAGGAGGCGGATTTGGAGGCCTTGAAAGTACTTGAATTTCGTTTTGGGTCCTTGAAAGTCCTTGATTTTTTATTGAACAACATCGAAAAATATCTGCTTTTGTTTCGCACCATCGGTAAACCCAAAACATAGATGTTAACAGAAACATTTTTCTTGGTTTTGAGGTAAAATTGTCATTACAAAAAGTCCTTGAAATTTCTAAGTAGGGTCCTGGAAAGTCCTTGAAAAGTCCTTGAATCTTTGGCCTGAAAAAGTGTACGAACCCTGAAGTTAAGTGTTAATTTATTTGGTTTTTATTTTCATCTTAGAGAGAAACGTTTTAAAGAAGAGATTGAGCAGTATCGTCAGGAAAGACCCAAGATTCAGCAGCAGTTTTCTGATCTCAAGGTATTATTTTTTTTGTTATATTTTTTGAGTATGATTGCATATCAACAACATAGTTGCTGGGGAATTCAAAGTAACTAGTTAGAAATTTAATTCAGGTCTGTATCTTTGATTTTAGCGGAAGCTGGGTGAAGTGTCTGAAGACGACTGGTTGAGTATTCCAGAAGTTGGTGACTACAGAAACAAGAAACAGAGAAATCCTAGGACAGAAAAGTGAGTTGAAAAGAAAAAAACTCTTTACAGCTATTGACTCAACTAGCTGCTTCATGTAAGTGGAAAGTGTGTGCTAAGATATCCAGGTTAAATATTTCTCCATGGCTGGCAAAGTGGCACAGTCTTTATCTCCAGAACCTGTCAGCGGTGATTTGATCAGTGGAAGGAAAGAAGAGAGGGAAGTGTGATGTGAGGGAAAATAATCTTTATAAACTTCCTAGAACTACTAAAAGACTACAACTGACAAAAAAAAAAAAAGACTACTTTTGACTTCAAAGATTCAGAAAGGAGATAGGTGTAATGCTTTCCTGGGTTGATGCCAGTGTCTGAACAACATTACTGCTCAAGCACCTACTCCTACAAGAGCCTGTTGTCAGAAAAGCCTGCCACATTTGTATACTTGTAAGAGGAAAACTTCATTAACTAGTCATTTTACATATTTTAATCTGATATGCACAAATTTATATGTATGTGTATCTATGATCAAATTGATTGACCACAAGGTTATATTAATGATAACTTAATGCTTTAACTCCCAGAAGTGATTAACCTGTAACTTCCCCCTATAATATCCATACATGATCCAGCAAACAGGTAATGAGAATACTCAAACTTATCAGGTTTAAGGTGTTATAAAAGGAAATGCATAGCAGCTAGAGGGGAGAATTAACAATCAGATCTTGGATTAGTGTTTGTTAATATAGCACTCTTTTCTTTATTTATACAAACATGTAATTTTTTTTTCTGAAAATTCTCCTGCAGGTTCACTCCAGTTCCTGACAGTGTTCTGCACGGTGCACTGATGAGTGGTGAAAAAATTACAACTCTTGACTCACGGCAACAGGTAATGAAAAATGTGAAGCTAAATTGAACTGTTTTTTTTTTTTTTTTTTTTTTAAAAATTGGTTGAAAATAGACAGCACCTTTCCATGAGTGCATTGATGGATCTGATTCCATGAATTTTGCTTTTAAATATTACCTGATGTAGATGGAATAGGTATTTTCCTTTTTTCAGTGACAACAAATCATCACAAGATTAATTTTTACTTCTGGTTTTTTTGTTTGTTTGTTTGTTTGTTTGTTTTTTCAAGAAATATGGTGGATTCCAGACTCCCTTCCCTGGAGGGATCACACCTGGTGGAATGACAACAGGTTTTTCAACACCATCAGCGGATCTTGACTTGATCAAAATTGGAGAGGCCAGAAAATCGCTTGTTGGTGTTAAGCTGGATCAGGTATTTAATGTGTGTTTGTTTAAGTGGCTGTATGTGAAGGATGTGTATGCTCCTTTGATAAGATATTTTAAATAAATTGAAACTCGTATGCAGCATTTACTCAGGGGACCCTTGCGTGTGGGAATGAAAATCAGGACAAGTTTGTGTGTACTTAATACAAGGTTGTAAGCTCAACCTGGGTCCTGTTAAGTGGTCAAGTTTCCTTGTATTTATTTTTCAGGCATCTGATTCAGTGAGTGGGCAAACAGTTGTGGATCCTAAAGGTTATTTAACTGATCTTCAGAGTTTAACTCCTTCCTCTGGTGGAGATATTGGGTGAGAAATCGTCATATTTTCGTTCCGTCATTTGACCAGCTCCTAGTTGGCATGGTAGCTCAGTTGGTAGAGAGCGCTGCACTGGTATTGCAAAGGTCATGGGTGTAAATCCCATGCTGGCCTGAATTTATTTAGGCCTTATTTTCACTATTGCTTACTGCAAAGATCGCTTTCATGATCATTTAATTCGATGTTGTTCAGTGTGCAAAAGAATGATGGCAGTATTTAGTGAAGACATGTACAGGTTTGATTTTGGGCTGTTTTGCTTTTACAGCGACATCAAGAAAGCAAGACTTCTGCTTAAGTCAGTAATCACCACAAACCCTCAACATGGCCCTGGTATGTGACATGTTTTAAAAGTAAAGAGAGGTATTCAATGTTTTTCAGATCCCACTTGAGGGAAAAACTGATTCCCCTTAACAGATTTTTGCCTCTGGTTGCAATATTCTCTCTTTGTTTTGTAAAACAACTTGATATGTTTGAATTACAGTGTATCTCTTGATATTCAATTTTAAAATGAAGTTGATTCCTAAGCAACCTTAAATTCAAGATTTGTCGTTGAATGTTAACTTTCTCATAGCACAGGCTCTACTGGCAAATCTCATTTCCAACTTCACTGCCCATGAAAGAGGACTTATGTTCAAAATTTATCTGTTCTCAGGGCAGGGGCACGGAAGGCAAATCTTTATTTTTAACTTGAATCCGCGAGAACCCAGAAAGTCTTACGCTTGTTGCAGAATTTATGATTTGCCTGAATAACATGAGAACACTTGCTTGTAATTCCACGCAGTGTACGTGATGCGCGTGTGTACTGCGTGGGATTACACGCGCTTGACGAGCGTGTCATGCTCCGGTACACGCGCGGAAGCGTGGACACACAAGCGCACGCTCGTTTCAAAATTTACGACGAGTCACTTGCACAACACAAGACCACTTGCTTGCAATTGCGCGTACCGTGCGTGATGCACACGTGTACTGCGTGGGATAACACGCGCTTGACGGGCGTTTCATGCTCCGGTACACAGGTTGGATAGCTGCTGCTCGTTTGGAAGAGGTGACCGGCCGCATGCAGGCTGCGCGAAACACAATCATGAAAGGGACAGAAGTTTGCTCAAAGAACGAAGATGTGTGGCTTGAGGCCATCCGTTTGCAGGTTTGTTTCTTTTCTAATCTCTGACAAGTTAGGGGACAGAAGAGCGAAGAGCAACCCGGCTCTACCAAAAAAGTACATAACCAGTGTATGGTCTCGTTTCTCGTGAGATACGCTGTAGGCGTCTTCTCTTGCGAGAATCGCTGAAGTTTCAAATTTGAAAGAAATAATGAAGAACGGAGGATGCCTTTATAATTCAATGATATCCTGTTCCTTGCAACGCCAAAGCAACATGTCTGTCAGAGCGGTTTGTTTACTAATGCTCTAGAGCGTCTGCCTAGAAAGCCAAGCCCGAAAATTTTGGGAAGTTCTCGTCCTGAATGTTTGTCACTGCATAATAGGCCTTTTTGAAGTCCTTTCTAGGACTTGAAGAATCCCTTCCAGTTATAACTTAAATTTTCTTTGTTGAAAATTCATTTATAACACTTTTATAGCTTCTCCTCGAACAGCAGAAGCGATCGCATTCAGCACCAAATTGTTATTCAATAATCCTTTTTTAAACCACGACATACATTTACAGGTTTTGAGTGAGTCAAAAGGAAAAATTCTTTAAATATGGGCATTCAATCTTTTTGATGTCCTTTCTTGGACTTGAATAATTCTTCCAGTTATAACTTAAATTTTCTTTGTTGAAAATTCATTTATAACACTTTTATAGCTTCTCCTCGAACAGCAGAAGCGATCAAATTCAGCACCAAATTGTTATTCAATAATCCTTTTTTAAACCACGACATACAGTTACAGGTTTTGAGCGAGTCAAAAGGAAAAATTCTCTAAGCATGGGCATTCAATCTTTATTTGTGGTAAGAAAACCTTTGGCGATGGGATTATTATCGAGAATGAAAAATAAGTGAAGAAAATCTCATGACAGTTCTAAGCCATCTTCACCCCGTGAAAATGTAAGTTGCTTTAATGTGTTCTTGTACAGTATTAAAGCACTAGGACGAAACATGGCAAGTAGATGCGTTTGAATCGAGCGGTATTTTAACATTTTTCTTTTAAGCCCCCCGAGACCAGAAAAAACAAGCGCGCGCGGAAAAATAGTCATTGCATTTGCTCACGTCAGCAGCGTACACCCATGGGCAAATGGGGGACGCTAAATTGACCAATCAGAGCGTGCGCTTTACTTTGGTTATGTTATAATTTTCTTTTAAGCCCCCCGAGACAGCCAGATCCGTCTGTGCTCAATCTGTTGGACAGCTTCCTCAATCTGTCCGATTGTGGATCAAGGCTGCAGCTCTTGAAGAAGAGACTAAAGCGATGAAGAGAGTTTACAGAAAAGGTAAGAGAACAAAAAAGAAAAACAACAATAACACTAAGAATCGACATTCACTTCGGGAGTAAGTTGGTCCAGAGACAACTATTATTATTTTTTTTTTTCTTTTTCCCAATGGATCCCACGATCTTTTTTTGTTGTTGGTGTTTCCTGTAGCTTTGGAGCAGATTCCAAACTCAGTCAGGATTTGGAAAGCAGCTGTTGAGTTAGAAGGACCCGAGGATGCGCAGATTATGTTAAGCAGAGCAGTAGAATGCTGTCCCACAAGTGTGGAGGTAAAGCTCTTCATTCAGTCTTTAAGTTTAATATGGTTTTCAAGTCTATGGAGAGAATCTTCTGGAGCAAGTGAGGAATGACAGAAGTAAAATTGAGTAACCGTCGGACCTGAAAGTCCTGAAGCGCGGATAACCATGCTGTGAGTGGATTGAGTCTAGCGTCTGAGAGAAGGGAACGAGATTTCTAGACCAATCACAGAGCGAAGTAAAGCAAAATCAATGGACTCACAATACGTCAGTGTACTCCCTAAAACGTAACATTACTGAGCCAGGAATGCAAGCAACAGGCGGTCATCGGATGACTGTCCGCTGAAATTAAGGGGCCGGTTGCTCGAAAGTCTGTTCGCATTGATTCAGAGTGACTTTTTGATATCCGTTTCTGTTTTTCGCTAATGACAGTTTGACAGAGTACTTGTGATCCGATGTGAAAGTTGTGTTTTGTAGGACCAGACTGGCTTTGTCGTGTCAAATGTAGTCCCTTTCCCAATCAATGACCTGCAAACTGACAAGAATTATTTCCAGCCTCGCTGACCCCATCCATCTCTCTGGTTGTATTTTCAAGAGAGAACTGGAAGTAACTTTCTTGTTTCTGTTTTCGTTGTAGCTTTGGCTCGCTCTTGCTCGATTGGAGACGTACGAAAATGCAAGGAAGGTAAGCAACACTCAGTGGATTCAGAAAATTTGATTTCTTTAAGATGTAACTGTAATGCTGTGCATTGTATCTCTTATGCCTTGTGTTGATATATGTGTAGGTCTTGAATAAAGCTCGTGAGAATATCCCAACTGACAGACAGATTTGGATAACGGCAGCCAAACTAGAAGAAGCCAACAGCAATTTACCCATGGTTGAGAAAATCATTGACAGAGGTAAAAAATTTCCAAATTAAACTGAAAATTCTTCAATTAATCTAATACTTTCAATCATACAATTAGATAAACAAATGAACGGATTTTAGCAGTAAAACCCCCACAGGATGACCTCAGGTCGAAAATGTTTGCTACGTTTTAGTTTGTCATTGAAATTTTGCGCGGGAATCTGGCCCGCGGCCGGCCAATATCACCTGCGCATGTCCGACGTTCGTTTGACGGCTGTGTTGAGAGACAGTACTCTTAGTCACTTCATGAAATAAATTCTAGTAGAAAGAGCCTCTTGGCTCGTATGCAAGACCTCACCTTACTTGGTTAAGTTGTCAATCTTCTGCGAGCTTTACAGTGTATTATGCTATTCTTTATTTCTTTCCAGCCGTAACGTCATTGAAAGCCAACGGCGTGGAAATTAACAGAGATCTGTGGATAAAGGACGCGGAGGAAAGTGAGAAAGCAGGCAGCGTGGTCACGTGTCGAGCCATTATGTAAGCAATGATTTTTGAAGGGGTGGAGCGTTTTTCGGTTGAGTGTCGTAACACTGAAGGTAAACCAATCACAACAGCTCATCAGAACGAGGCAATTACAACACCAATCAGAACGAGGGAAAGTCTCTCAAGGAGCCAATGAGATTTCACAATTAAATCAAGCTAACCACCGGATGCGCGAGAAAAAGCCACCGGCAGAGTTGCAGTTGTTTTTAGTTTTCCATTTGTTTGGCTGAGAAGGTGGAAGGTGTTTTACAGACCCATCTGCGCGAACTTAATCAAACTACTACAATTCCGGGTTTCTTTTGACACTCAGTCGAGAAATGTTGATTGAGATAAGTGCACTTAAAAACACATGTAACACATGTATATGTAAGTTGCTCTAAATCCCCGAATTTTGTTTCCAGAGATACTGTTATAGGGATTGGTGTCGAAGAGGAAGACAGAAAGCACACTTGGATGGAAGACGCAAACAGTGTACGTACAAAATCAAATCAGCATTTGTTTTACTTCATTATTCGCGCATTTCCGTAGTGGGAAACGTGATGTCCTTTTGGTGAACACGATTAGATCGGGCCGTCGCCAATTGTTTTTTTAACTCCTTGAGGATATTGAATGTCCGTAAAACCTGGGGTGAACTTTGACGGGGTAACGTTTGTTCTAGGCAGTACTACAAGTCACTCCACCTGAAACCCCAAGAAACTCCCGCAGCTATGCAAATCAGTTTAGTGGTCAGAGTTGATATTTTTCACCAATCTGCTGATGAACTTTTTCTCTATCATTTGCCAATTTTGAGAGGCTGTTTCTTAATTTTATTTTTCGCAGTGTATCGCCAATAATGCGTTTGAATGTGCAAGAGCCATCTATGCACATGCTCTGTCCGTGTTTCCCAGTAAAAAGAGCGTTTGGCTGAGAGCCGCACACTTCGAAAAGAATCATGGGACTAGGTAAATGATTCTTATCTTGTGATCAAAGACAAGTTTCTCAAAAGACCCAATAACTTTACGGGCCTGCAATGATAATGATAATAAAAAAATAATAACAATGATATTGATTAAAATTGTCTTGGTTATCCCTTGAAAGTCTAGTGAACTCAGTTACTCCTTGTCATCTATAAAATATTCATTAATATTTTCCTTCTATTTTAAATGAATTTAATTTTCTTACATAGAGAATCTTTAGAGGCTTTGTTACAGAATGCTGTCAAGCATTGCCCCAAAGCAGAGATACTGTGGCTCATGGGCGCTAAATCCAAGTGGATGGCCGTAAGTGGAGTTCGATTGTTTATGTTTAGAGCCCTTTGATGTTGAAAAAGTTTAGTGTGCTGTTGTCTGTCCGCTATTAATGAAGTTGTTGAAGTAAGTTTTCACAAACGCGGAACAAAGCACGAAGAGCGCGTGAGTAAAGCGCGCGAGGAACACGCGCGAGGAACACGCGCGAGAGCGTGAGAAATGCGGTTAGGGTTAGGAACCTAAAGTTCGAAGGTGCTTAGATACCGTACCCTGTGGCTTAACTAGTTGCACATCTGGTATACTTACAGGGTTAGCAGTTTTCACGACTTCACTTGATTTCGTAGGGTGAGATAAATCAAGCTCGTTCAATCTTGGCGTTGGCTTTTCAAGCCAATCCGAACAGCGAAGAGATTTGGCTGGCGGCTGTCAAACTGGAGAGTGAAAATAATGAAGATCAGAGAGCCAGGTCGGTGGTCGATTTGCAATTTTGAGCAATTTTCGATCGAGTGTTTTACTTTTCGTGATAATTGATTTTTGATTATATTTTCTTTTCCTCCCATTGGCTGTCACGATAACTTGATTCTGTTTTTGCGACCCTCAACTGAAATTCGGTTCATCTTGTCAGACATTTTAGGAGATTGAGATTTTGAGCTCGATCGTTGGATAGAGCATGTATTCTTCAATTTTAAATTGTGTGTAACGAAGAAAAGACTGTGTTTTCCGTCATACTTCATATCAGCTTGCTTTTTTTGGTCTCAAACTTGCCTGTCTACTCTCTTGCAGAAAACTTCTCCAGCGAGCAAGACTTAACGCTTGTACACCAAGGGTAAGTTCACAATAGAAAATGCAGTACAATCGAGACAGAGAGCATGTACTACGTGAGATGCATCCTTAACATTAGTCTTAACACTGCTCTGATGGTTTAATGTCGCAAGTGTCATTTATGGAAAGATGGTATATTTTGAGCTCGGTCGTAAAAAAGGGAAGGAAATACATTTTCAAAAGGATAGGACATGTAGGTCCCGCGTAACAATTTGGCGTACAGATCCTTTTCCAACTGAGCTTCACAAAATTGTTAATCCTTTAACTCCCAGAAGGGATTAACATACAACTTCTCCCTTTAATATCCATACATTATCCAGCAAACAGGTAATGAGAATTCTCAAACTTATCAGGTGGAAGTTGTTACCATGATTGAGTGCTAAATTCTCATAACCAATTAACAAGGAAATGTGTAGCAGCTAGAGGGGAGACAATCAGATCTTGGGAGTTACAGGGTTAAGTGAAGGACCGTTTACACTGCTGGAACATCGGGTACTGAAGCGTCAGAAATGAGAAGAGTTTTACGAACCCTAGGTTGTTCACGTTTTTTTTTCAAGTTTTGGGGCCATAGACGTCTGGCTCCCAAGCCGTGAAAAACCCGACCCCCTACCCACCCCCTTAATACGCAACGTTTACACGAATAACAATTCGAGGTCCATACTCTCTTCTTGGGGGTCCGCACTCTATTTTTCTTCCGTGTAAAGGGCCTTTGAGAGTTTTTATGTGGCAACTGTCCTGAGACCATCAATTTTGAGAGTATCCTCTGTGGAGAAAAGGCGGAATTTAAAAGGAGCAAGTTTTAAGATAGGTCAAAGATTTAATTAAAAGATGCCAATATTGGAGAATTTTAGTTCCATATTCCCGCTTTGAGGAAGATTTTTTCTCATCTTTTTGCAGGTCATGATGAAATCCATCAAGCTAGAATGGGTGCTAAGGAATCTTTCTGAGGTGAACGAATCAACTTTCTTGTATCATGTGGAATTGTTCTCAGCTTTCAATTATTTCATTTATTGTAATTACTTTCCCCTCTGTTTTATTTATCAGGCGGAAAACCTCTTAGCCGAAGCTGTTCAACAGTATCCAGATTTTGCAAAAGTAAGGTCTGAGGGTAGCACGTGGTTATCATGCATACTTCTTTGGAGACTTTCCCTTTCATTCAAAAATGAAGTTTTGAATTTTAATTTTGTAGTGGTTGCTGTAAGATTTCAGCGGGAAGTCCTGGTGCTCGTTTGTCGATGTTTGCGAAGTGTAAATCAAGGAAGATACCACAGCAACTAGAATACAATGAAAAAACAAAACACAAAAAAATCATGTGGCTAGGGTCAAGCGTAGAAAAAGTTTGGGGATCGATACGTGATTGGGTTTTGTAATCTGATTGGCTTAGTATGTCTCTGAGCATGCCACCTTGTAACCAATCACGAAGCGTAGTAAGCTATCAAAGTCAGGATCACTTCCAACATTCGCCACGGCTCGGTTATCGTGTTATTGATGGAAGTTTCAATAAATTTTTGTTGTTTTTTTTCCTCTTTATAAATAAAGTTATGGATGATGAAAGGACAAATACATGAAGAGTTGAAACAGTTGGATAATGCGAGAGAGGCATACAAACTGGGGGTAGGTCGCTCTGACGAAGGGCTAAAGCTCGAAACGTCAGCTTCAAACTGTACGATGGCCAATTTACATTATAAACTCAGTTGATAAAACCAAAATTACCTGGGGATAGGTCTGTTGGGTTAATCGCACACGCTATGTTCGAGGGTTACACTACGTGTCAAAGGAGTAATATGCCCCAGAAACGATTAAATTTCGATCTCTTTTTCCATGAACGGATCTTTAAAAGTTTACAGAATTAACTAACGGTTTTTTGGATTCTTTCCGCAGACGAAGAAGTGTCCTCACTCCATCCCCATCTGGCTGTTATTGGCCAGGCTTGAAGAAAATGCAGGTACCTCGCCATCATAATTATGGTGACACTAATGATAACATAATGGGATTGTGACATAGACATTCTTAAATATATGTTTACTGAAATTCAGTGCAATATCTTGTATCTTAGGACACGCCACGAAAGCTAGATCAGTGTTGGAACAGGCGCGACAGAAGAATCCCAAGTCTGCAGAATTATGGTAAGACTATGGTCCCTCTAAACCTTTTTTCGGTGTGAGAGTTTTCGAGCCAGTGAATAGGGTATCTCCGGTTTCAAGAAGCGTCGAGCCACGAGCGAACCATTAGTTTTAAAAATGAGATTTATTTGGTGTAGGAAAAGAGTTTATAATTTGTATGAGAGATTAGTTAGGATAACCAGCCAAAAATCAATAATAAAAAAAAAAAAAACGGTGCTGAAGGAAACCTAAGGAGCTCTGTGACCGGCTGCAATCTTTTGTTTTTGTCAATAAACATTATCTTATTAAATCACTGGAAAGTTTCTACACGTCATGTTATTCAAAATGAGTGGAATAGTACCGAGCATTTTGTAAGGTCAGGTCCAAAAACAAAAACAGATTTTTGCATAGAAATCTGCTCAGCTCCGCAATCAGTTGCCTCTTCGAACTATGATATCAAATGCTTCGAATTTATCAGTCCTCGTTTTGAAAGAAGGGCTTTGGAAAGTTTAGAAATTACTCTTTGTCCTCGCTAGGAGAGCGATGTCGTGAATAACGAATCAAATTATGGCGCTCGAATTGAAGGAGCTCTGTGGAATTCTCATTTTTCTGTTGTTTCTTTCAGGCTTGAAGCAGTTCGAATCGAAACGAGAGGAGAAAGAAAAGAATTTGCAAAAACCTTAATGGCCAAAGGTATTGTTATTTAATATAAGTGATGTTCATTTACCAACTTTTCTAAAATTAATGAAATTACTTTATTTCACCAAGTTCTGAAATATTCAGCACGTCTGTGGGTCAAATGGAAAAATCAGTATTTCTGCCATATGTTTTATGAGTTGTCTTCTCTTCTCTTTTCTTTTTTTTCGCGTTTCATTTTTGGCTAAGTTATCGTAGACATCACGCTATGTGCTTTGTTTCAATTTTCTAATATCCTTCGATGTCCTAAAATATAGAGTGAAATCTTTAGGAGCGCGTTTAGCTCCCCTCCCTCTAAACGGATACATGAAACTCACCAAACCCTTCCTCGCCCCTCTTCCAGCCATGCAAGAATGTCCCGCCTCAGGCATTCTCTGGGCGGAAGCCATTTTCATGGAGAGCAGGCCACAAAGGAAAACAAAAAGTGTTGATGCACTTAAGAGATGTGAACATGACCCTCATGTGCTTCTTGCTGTGGCTAGGTTAGTAATAACCCTAACATCAATGTACAGTTTCTCTTTGCTGTTCTATATACATTCCCTAAGGTGTGGACAAGGAGAATTTGTTTAACAATCAAGAGCTTCTTCAGTTGAGGATCATTTCCTTCGTTCTCGTGACCCCAGTGTGTGATTCAGCATTGATATTGTAAGGAGAAATTAGATGCTGGTCACAAAACTACTGGCGAGTCTTCCATCCTCGGGAGGCTTCATTCAGCTTATTGTACCTTAAAAAAAAAAAAAAAGAAAAAAAGATTAATACATCGGAATAAAAAAAAAGAAACGTCTTCAATAAAATTTTATCGTTTCAATACTTTTAACGCTGGTATAACGAACAAAAAAAATAACTGTACTATTTCTTCTGTGGGATGGATTGATGGTAAACATGTCAACAATACGTGCACCTCCAAACTCTGGCTCAGAGTACTTTAACTGCTGATGGAAAATTGGACAGTTATTTATATGCCACCGTGGAAACTTTTTTACTGCAGCCATTTCCCAGTTTTGCGGAGCGAAATTGTATGCGTAATCTAGATGTGTGAATCGCTTCCACGTTCAGAATCTGTCCGAAGGCTCGTGCTAAACTCATGGAACGTCGGGACATTTCAACAACAGTTCGCAGTCTTGCGTGTAGTCTGATGACACATCATGGCGCACACACTAGATAATCTGGACGCTTACAACTTTTTTATTTTTATTTGTTGACTACTTTCAAACTTATTGGCAATCCTAGTATCCTTTGCTTTGTCTTGAATGTGCTTAATGTTTCGTAGATTGTTTTGGAGTGAGAGAAAAATCAACAAAGCACGAGAGTGGTTCAACAGGTAAGTATTTGTTATTTTTTTACTTGTTTATTTTGCAATTCGAAGCTTCCTTGGTCACATTTTCCCTGAAGCGACAACTGAAGTTAAAAGTTGACTTAGAATAAAATTTTCTTAGATTGAGTATTTTTGTCCGAATAGTAGTAGTAATAATAATAATGATAATAATAATCATCATCATCATGATCGTAATCATAATCATAATAATAGTCATAATCATAATCATAATCATAATAGTCATAATCATAATCATAATCATAATATTCATAATAATAATAATAATAATAATAATCTTAATTGTAAAGGTAAGCCTAACTAGAAGCCATGTGACTCATCGGGCCGGCGCTTAAGTTCGGTTTCCGTAGCTTGAAACGGCTAGGAGTATTTCTAAAATACGTTGAAAAAATCATGATTGAGTTAAGATTCTTCACTTCATTAGGAATATCATTAAAAGGTTTTGATCCACTAAATTAAAAAGTCTTCCTTGCAGTCTCAGTTCTCACTTTGGAAAGCATTAAGTTCTTCCCTCTTACCCTTGTGCTGTGGATAGTTCTAAAAGCCTTAAAATAATCTTTAAAAGACATGGGATGGGTTCCCCTTGAGAATTTGAAAGTTAAATTAATAGTGTGCATGTCACGGCTCATAGACAAGGGAAGCCATTTTAAATTGTTTTGGCGTCTGAATCTTTTGGTCTTCAAGACAATCTTTGCCGCCCTTCTCTGTGCACAATCTAACCTGTCACGTTCTATTTTTCCAATGTTGCTCCACGGAACATCCCAATAATCTGTAACTGAAAACACAAGAGACTGATAAACCTTATTGGCTGAGTGAGATACAAATACGCACAAGTGAGATAAACATACGCACAAGTGAGCTACAAATACGCACAAGGGCGATACACATACGCACAAGGGAGATACACATACGCAATAGTGAAATACAAATACGCACAAGTAAGATACATACGCACAAGTGAGATACAATTACACACAAGTGAGCTACACTTACGTCCTAGTGAAATACAACTACGCACAAGTGAGATACAATTACGCACAAGTGAGATACGCATACGCAAGTGACATACACATACGCACTAGTGAGATACAAATACACACAAGTGAGATACGTACGCACAAGTGAGATACACGTACGCACAAGTGATATACACATACGCACAAGTGAGAAATACGCACAGGTGAGATACACCTACGAAGAGGTAAGATACAATTACGCACAAGTGAGATACGCATACGCAAGTGAGATACACATACGCACTAGCGAGATACAAATACACACAAGTGAGATACTAACGCACAAGTGAGATACACTTACGCACAAGTGAGAAATACGCACAGGTGAGATACACCTACGCACAGGTAAGATACACATACGTACAAGTGAGATACACGTATGCAGAAGTGAAATACAAATACGCACAAGTGAGATACACATACGCACAAATGAAATACACAGACGCCGTAAAAGTGAGATACATATGCGACCTCGTGAGATACACATACACACCAGTGAAATACAAATACGCACAAGTAAGATACAAATACGCACAAGTAAGATACAAAATACGCACAAGTGAGATACACATACGCACAAGTGAGATACACATTCGCACAAGTGAGATACACATACGCACAAATGAGATACACATACGTACAAGTAAGATACAAGTACGCACAAGTGAGATACACATACGCACTAATGAAAACAAATACGCACAAGTGAGATACATATACACATGTGAGATACACGTACGCACAACTGAGAAACAAATTTTAGTTAGTGTTTTGTTTAACCAAAGGATAATTGTGATATTTCCCACAGAGCAGTCAAACTCGACCCAGATCATGGGGACTCGTGGGCTTGTTTCTACAGATTTGAACTGCAACATGGAACAGAGGTCAGTGATACTTTGTTTATTATTTTCAAACGAAGCCTCTTTGACTATGGTAATGTGGTTTTATTAACTAAGTTGATAAAGTAAATTGGCCACTGTAGAGTTTAAAAACTGACGCTGCGAACTTTAGCCCCATTTTGCTGTGACAAAGGGCTAACGCTGGAAACGTCAACTTTGAAACTCTTTACAGTGGCCAAGTTACATAATAAACTCAGTTGATAAAACCAAATTACCTTGTTACCCCCCACCGATGCATCACCGCAGTTTCTCTAGATAATTACCCTCTTTATCTGTTTGACTACACCCGAGCAGATTACAAGAACTTCTTTCTAGCTTTTTTTTGGGATCATTTCGATTTTGGTTCTTGATTACTTCGATGTTGAACCTTTTAACTACCATCACAACTTTTACTAATGTTTTATTAATATCATTTTCTCTTTTGAAGTTCTGATTAAAAGGAAAAAAAACTTGCACGAAACACTTTCAATTTGAACGGAATGCTCACAATTTTGGTGCACCGCATGCATCAGTCTCGAAGAACGAATACATCCATAATTCATATCGACTTCCGTTCTACACAGGAAGTGAATTAAATATTTGTAAAACTTCAGATGGCCTTTCTTGTTCAGACTCTTAAAATAAACACAGAAGGAATTATTTTTGTCGATGGCCCTAAGCTTTGTATTGGAAGCTGACCCTAATATGAAAGCCAAAACATAGTTCGTTGACATACGTGCATTTACGTGAAAGGGAAGTTTTGTTGATGATCTATGCAAATCAAGGCTTTGAGATTCCTGACAAAGTGTTTTTAAGATTGAAAAAAAAAAATCCTCTCTATCTGTAAATCTGAAAGAAAATGATGTTGATGTATTTTTTGTTTGAATTTTTTTCTTTAGTTGCCTGCTATCATTAAACAGTTGCGGCCCAAGTGATTGTGTTTTAACAGTCACGTTTAGGTCTTTGGGCAGAAAATCACGAAATATTTGTGGCTTTGAAGAGAATCACACTGCATTCAGCACGAATTTAAACCAACATCCGATTGTTTCTCACGCTGCGCCGTGTTAAAATGGCAATTTTAACGAAAACCTTGCTGAAGGGGCGTTATCTTTAGTTGTTGTGTTAGGGTATGAATCTGTCAGTGGTTTCTGGAAAGTTAGATGTCGGACTTTTCGCGATATTTCTTTGTCAACGTAATCGCGACGGGAGGTTATCACGGGGAATATTGTTTACCTAGCTGCTGGAATTTAAACCGCAGTTTTGTTGTCTTCACGGCAGGTAGAGGCGCGGTGACTTTAGCGGTGTTAGTGGTAAAACCGTGCGCGACGCCCACGAATTAAACCCACGCGATTTGTTTATTTTTCAGTGGTTAGCACGCTGCCGTGGCGCGTGAATCCCACGCATCACGCCTACACGAAACGCCCACGTGCTTTCGTCATCCGTTCTGACATAAATATTATTCACCGTGATTTCTCAAACTTAGAGTTCTTATCTGATCCAGATGAGCTTTTCTATCAAAACCCCTCCTGCTAATTTGAAATGCTGTTCTTTCTTAATTGTGGGTCGCTCGTACGTCAAATAGTGTCAATAGCCATGAGATTTTGTTTTGACTTACCAGAATAGATTTTGGGTCATAATCATAATAATTTTGTCTATCGCATTGCTGCAAAGTTCAGCTGGTCCTTTACGTTAGAATTGGAATTTAAACGGGCGCGAGAAAAGAAAAGTTACCACAGGGTTCGATGCAGTGAGATTCGTGGGCGTCGCGTGGGTTTAATTCGTGGGCGTCGCGCACGGTTTTACCACTAACACCGCTGAAGTCACCGCGCCTCTACCTGCCGTGAAGACAACAAAACTGTGGTTTAAATTCCAGTAGCTAGCTAAACAATATTCCCCGTGATTCTTTTTTTTTTTTTTTTTTGAGCCATTAAATGTGTATTGCTTCGTAAGCATTAAGTGGTTTTGAGGTCATGTTGTAAATAACTAAGATTTTAAAGGCTTTTTTGATCAACGATGTAACCTTGGGGATATTTTCGTTTGATAAACTCTTCAGGCTTAACTGTTGACGGCTTTCAGTATAAAATATTCACTGATAGTCTCGTTCTATTTTTTATCGCACTGGTGACAATATTTATACTTCAAAGATATGAAAATCTCAGGCAATGAACCATTACTTTGTCTTCCGAATTAATGATCTTTCGTCAACATTATCAGCAAGAATTTGTTTCTGAGAAGGGTTCAAGTTGGGAACCTCCATAATACTTGGAGTTGATTTTACGAATTTCCACAATCTGCTGTGGCAAACGCATTTTTACCAGTAGAAATTTTTAAACACTTTTCAGACGGAAATTGAAGTTAGAAACGTGGAAATATGCAGACCAGAAATGATGATTATTTCATGCTTTTAAGAAACGTACGTCATCAAATAAATTAGTTATTCAACTAACAATCAAAATAAACAGACGAAGGCTATTCCAGTTCAATTTCCCAAAACCATTGTTTTTTGAAATTGCTACCAGCTGTCTGGCAAAATTCCCCTCAAAATTCAAACATTGGTTTCCTTGTTTTGAATACTAAAATTTCGTTTTTTAAATGAAGGGAAACAGTTTTTGTTGAGTAACTGAAAACAAGCCTCAAACATAGATGTAAAAATATTTGGATTTATTTGCGGCAATTATCAGACCTCTTGGTGTCCCAAATCGTTATCTTGACATCGATTAATTTTCTCTTTTTTTCTTCCCTCATGAAATTGTTTTACATTTTGCTACAATTTTTTTTCTTGCCCAGACCCAGCAAGAGAGTGTAATGCAACGGTGCGTGCTGGCCGAGCCTCATCATGGGGAGAACTGGTGCGCAGTATCCAAAGCTATTCCAAACTGGAGACTCCGAACCAAAGATATTCTGCCCATTGTGGCCAAGTCTTTGAAATCCGTCGAGAAGGAATAACAGTAATCAAGTGTGGATAGGTAACACAATGTGGCGCGAAGTCCTGGATGTTTTTTTTTTTTTTTTTTTTTCTCATGTACAGTTTATCACTTCTGTAGACTGTTGTGAGTTTGTAAACACGCGCGTGTAACTCGAGGAAAGACTGGTCTTACAACAGACTGTTGTATATTAGTAACTCTCGTTGAAGAAAGAAAAGCAAATTTTCTCTCACTATACGGTTTCAACGACATTCTTGTTCTTGCATCAAGATAACGACAATTGATGTTCATGTCAGCTTCGTTTTGTTTGATCCATCATGTAACACTCAGAATTAAGAATGGTCGTAGTCTTTAGTCTTCTTTGCAAGTAGCTGCTAGATACACTTTTTTCTGTCAAAGCTAGGAATGTCATATTGAGAATAAACCAAAGTGAAACGCCAGATATTTTGGTACATGCGATATTTATAACTCCCAAGTTTTATTCAACTCTTTTGACAAGTTTTATACATAAATAAAGGTGAAAATAAAAAATAGATCAATTTTTTTTTTCCTTGACCGATCGCTCGCGTAGAACTAACTTGGCAAGTTTCTAAGGAGGTCCCTCACTGAAAAAGAAAAAGCTTGTAAACGAAAAAAGTTACTTGTCAGGATTCTTCTCAAAAAATAACTCTGAAGAATTTCAGAGGGAAATTATCGACCTTAAGTTTGATTTGAAACGATCGGCATGACTTTATCTACTTTTGTTCTGAGTTCTTCACGTTTACGTTTGTTTTGGTGAGCGAAATTTCTCCTGATTTTAGAATGTGTTTTCTTCGTTACCGACGCAAAGCTGTCTTGAGGTTATGAATTACAGAGATGCGTTGACGCTTTTGTTTAATATTTTGCTCCACCATCTGTTCGATGTAAAAACGTGTGCCGTATGATATTACTCAAACCAATTTATCAACTGACTCTGAAATATGAACTCATAAAATGTGTATTGTATAAGTATTGCGCAGTAAAATATTGGAAATGATGAAAAATTGAGATGATTTCTGATTAATCCCTTACAGATGCTACCAATGTTACAAAAAAAAAACCAACTTATGGCAAACCAAAACTGGAAAAAGAGGCCGGCATCTGTTATTGCAAAAATTCACGTTATTGTTCAACATCTTATTTCACCTTTCTTTTCGCTGTTTATTCCTAGCCGTTGATCTAATTGGAACTTTCGATGCAGTGTTGTTTGATGTTTGTTCTCGAAAGAACAGAAGGTATTATTTGGTTTCCTTGCAGAAGAACTCTCTTTGTTTGAAGTAAAGAATTAAGAAACGCGAATGAAATCAATTTTTATTGCTCTCCACCTTTACTCACTTCCTTGATTTTTATCATCGTTACAAATTGTCTTAATCGTTCCTGATTTGTAATGCTCTGTTCAACTTTGTTCGCCAATGTTTGTCATGATATTTGAGCCCCGGTCTGTCTCGATAACATCTGAACATTTCCAAGTTGTATCGAAAAATATTAAAAAAAAAACAAAAACAAAACAATTATTTGGGGTGTTACGGCAGAACGTAGCCGCCACCTTTTAATTACCCGACAAAAATGACAAAAATATTAATTAAATGCAGCTCTAATCATCTGTGGTTGTGAATTCCTTCCACGGCAAATCTGCGGTGAAGTGTTTTTGCGAAGAGAATACAGGGAATTTGGGTGGCAAGACTGATATGGCGGGGAATCTTTTCATCCAAACAAAAATCTTATCTTATTGTTTTCGTGGTATTTACAATAGGATAATTTTAAGCTCTTGATTACACAGGTGCTCGTTAAACCTGTTTGTGTTGTTAAACCTATCTGACGTATATACAGTCACCTTCCTGAGCTTTATGAAATGGTTTGTCTTTTGTTTCTCTCGAAGTTCCCGTACCAAATTCGATTTGGAGGAGTTCTTATTATTTACTTCTGTCTATTACCAGTAGGAACTCAACTTAATTTGTAACCTTTCACGTTGTGGTTTCTCAACTTTTTAGCGGGCGTTTTTCATCGAAAATAGTATCAAAAACTGTTAATGATTTCAAATTACATGTATCAGTCAGATCTGTCCAGTCATGCCTAGTATTGTGGGAAAGCAACTTGAAGAAACTTAACACGACAAAAAAAAATTAGGTTGAAACTTAAGATCATTTTGTTACCATGTTTTTAGATTACTTTCTCGGTTCTCGCGAAAATTTGTAGAGAAAAATGTAATTGTATATCTACGAGTGAAATTACTTATCGTTGATTCCGTTTCCAGCCTAAGAAACTAGACAAAACGATTCATCAATTATTTTGTGCTGTTTAAAGTGCTGGAAACTCAAAATGTATTTCAGGTGAGATCGAATGTTTACAACTGTTTCATAGCTCCAGGGCTTTTACACAGTCTAATTTCCAGAAAGAAGAAAACAAATTTCTTTCAATTGCTATGTAAATCTTCTGTTAGTAAAAATGTTGTGGCGTATTTTGCCATCTCTCTTAAACCAAACTGTTGACATTGCTTACATTTGTCCTCTACTTTCTATTGAGCTTGCCGTGTATTTTCATCGCTGCATCAGTGGTTGCGTTTTGAGTCAGGTAGAAAGGAAATTCATTGTGAACAGAATTTTGAATTTCTCTTGCAAAGTGAGCCTTGTTTTATTCTGTTGTATTTACTCGTAATTTTCCTCAATTCAAGTCACATCAAGTTCTGCAAGCGGCTATATAATTTCCAGAGGTGATTGACATTTAAATTCTCTTTACAATGTTGCTACATCACCCAGCCAAAACGTGATGAGAGGATCTACATTTTTACATCCGAAGAGTGTTATCTTGATGTAAAACTCCTAACTTTTCCTTTTGTTCCACGTTCGTGTCAGTAAAATATTTTTGAATAAATTGAATCTTAGTACAAAACGAACTTCTTCCAAAACGATAACGTGATGAATAAAACATTGATTATCCTAGACTTATGGGTTGTAACCAGCTAATCTTTGACGCTTTCGGCATATCAGGAAAACACTATTTTAATTGCCTCAGAAAATCGCTTAATTGGACTTAGTTCTCCACCAAAAACAAACCCAATTTGCAGAGCATGGCGTCAGTGTTACCTTGACCCTTTCGCTCCCAGGATCTACTTAGGGACTCTTCTCATTGTTTGCCAACAGTTTTTATCATGTTAGTTTGGATAATTTGATATTGGATCGTTTGAGGATCCCCTAATTGATATTTTTCTTTATTCTCATCACTTTTCTGCTTGATATTGTATTGATATTGTTAGGAGAAATTCTGTCTTGGTCACTCATGGGAGTTGAGAGGTTACTGGACCGTCTGGTTATTTTTGAAAATTCTTTTCCAAAGTTTTCTACAATTAATCGAGATTAAGAAGTAAGACGACGCTTTTATGATCGCGTGACCTTTTCTGTCTGGTTTATCGAACTTTGATGGTTTTTTTTTTTTTTTTCTTGCAATTTTTACAAATGGTTTCCCTTATTATGAACTGTAATGGTTTCTGACGGTGAAATTTATTACTTTCCGTGTCGCTAGTGAATAAATTATTTTCCAATATGGTTACTAAAAGGGTTTTAATAAAAAAGGACATCAAAAACGACGAAAAACCAGAACTTCTAAATTTTTGTCGCCTGCAATTGATAAACACGCAATATTTTTAAGTTCGCCCCAGAAGAAAGGTCTCAACCAGTACGCCAAAACTGAGTCATTTATAAAGAAAATTGCGAAAAGCGAGCGATCCAAACATGTGACGGTTACCTCTTTTTCCCTTCCGTAATGCACTTAAACGAAGGTTAAACAGGCAAATTTGAAATTTTTCGAGGACTTTTTTAAGTTAATTTTAATGTTATCCCAAACGTTGCGTGTAAGAAACGTGCATCATGGTAAACTAACCTCGCGCTAGACGGTTACCAGCACTTCGTTCTTCACAAATGTTAAATGCTTGTTTTTTTTTTTTAGAATTTTTTTTTGTTTTAGAATTTTTTTTTTTTTGTAAAGCATTAGCTGTTTTTCTTGCCTGGCGTAACTATAACTCTATTAAGACTCATTCGAATTGATGACCTCAACCGAAGGCACGGAATATAAATACATATTTTTTTTATTTTCTTGAAAATTGTCTTTGGTTTGGACAATCTTTTGTACCCTTCGTGTGCGGATTTCTTTTTTGCGTTTTTGTGTATTTCTCTAAAACTAACCCATCAAAACATGTCGTGCATGCTGGTCAAACCTCACAGCTGTCACGCTTAATTATACAAAGTACATTTACATTTTGTTTAATTACAAGTTCCAAACTTTTGTGAACGTAATTTATCAAAATCTTCTGCGCGCCAGCAGGGCTACTCGCCAAACCACTTGTCAGAATGGTTGACATGAAATTATTCTGCCCCCTCGTGAGTCAGAGCTGAAATTATCAAATACTTACGTACGCGTGTGAAGTTGAAACTTCGCATTCAGGAACGTAACAAAAGCTGAATTAGGAAAACCACGATAATTGTCTTTCAGAAACAAAAAAAATATTGCTGACGCATTTAGTTGCTTTTTCTTTGAGTTTCCGATGGTGAAAATTTAAAATAATATTGAATTTTATTCGCTGTGGGAGCTGAACAAAAATTGGCTAAGTGAATGGAGTCATCTTGTACCGATAGACAGCAGTACAGCTGATGAATCAGTCATCAATCAATCAGGTGGCAGTATTCGGCATTTTTCTGTCATCCGAAAAATACCAACGGGTCTTGGCTAATGAGCCGGAATTAAAAGTTGTGTAAATAAATACAGGGCTGAGCAGTAATTAATAGGGATAGAGTTTGTACTGAGCAGGATTTGAAAACCTGCGGAGCATGGACTATATTTACTGTTGTAGCTCTCCATTTCCAGATGTTGTAACTCGGTAAAAGAAACTCAAACCAAAGTGGCGTTTTCTTTCCATTTTGTTTTTTTCTTTCATTTTGTGCCAATTTTCATGAAAAAGCCCAGGAAGTCTTGAGTTTTGTTGTCGTTTTTTTGCGTTTTGTAATTTTGGCGAAACCAGAACCAAGATGATTTGTGTTGTTTTTAGTTTGCGACTCTCTCTCGGTATATTACGCCTAAATTGAAATTCGCTTTGCAAAACGCACTACTTTAAAGAAATCCCTCAGTTTTGCGTGTGAAACGGAAGTTCGCGAACGCAAGCGAGCGTTACATGTGAAATGTAAAGTAGTCTCTCAAATGTACTTTGTTTGTCTCTCATTTGAAAAGGTGAGGTCTTCCAAATAGAACTATGAATAATTGATGTTCGAAAATAGTAAATAACATAGCCAAGAATAAAGCGCACTAAAACATTCGACAAAATAGGAAGACGTCTAGGTGGAAAATTAAGAGTTGGCGGTCAGCATGAAGAAGAAAAATTTGTTGTAAATACAATTTTAACAATGTTTCAGTTGACTAGATCTCACGAAAAGCATGTCGCCTCGTTCTTCTCAACATATTTTCCAATGAAAATATGCACCTATTGATTGCATTTGTTTCTTTGCTAAGGCCAAACATTGAGAAATGTTTACGTTCGCTTTTCTAGAATTGAATTTGTATAAAATTTTGAAAGGTCAAATCAGCTTTGCAGTTAAAATCAAACTTTTCAGCATATTTCTTCACCAAATGAGTTAAATTTCGAAGATCTTAGCCTTCTTAACAGTAAAATTCATAGTGTATTGTTTTGCGTTTGCGAGAAGTAGATAGGTTTTTTTTTCACCTTTCTCTGATGCGACACATTTTATGCCAGTTGCCACAGCGACGTGGTGAACGCTGAAAAACGCGTGTAATTAACGTTTTTCATTAGAGCGGTGGACCGTCTTAAAAGGCTGTTTACAAGGGACAGAAATATTCTCGAGTTTTCATTGCTGATATCCACGTACTTCTCTCTTATTTACAAATCTTGGGCGTTCTCCCAAGTAAAATGAAAACACTTCTTGTAAATTGAAGCTTCAAAAAAAACGTGCCTTTTATCATGTCTTATTGAATATTTTTAGAAGATACTCCCAGCTTCCTGTAGGGTTTTTGTCGACGGAATTGTGAGTATTCAGAATTTTCCCGTGTGTTGGCGATATGTGCGCGATTAATTCGAAACTTGCCTTTGTTTAAGACATGTGGCAACCGTTTCGTATGTCTCGTTTGGATTTGGGAGTTTTAAATAAAATAACGAGGATGTTAAATTTCAAAACAGGCTGATTTGGCCGCGTATGATTTCAATGGCATAGCAGGACCTCTGCCTATTTACACTTTCTACACCTCCGACGAATGATAACAAAAAACAAAAAAATGAAGACAAAATCTACAATATCCTTTGTTTTGTAGAAAGTTTTAATTTCACTTTTTTCCGCTCTAAAGTTCGCTTTAAATACATGTGTGCAATTTATTTTAGAAGATTCGCTACGTACTGAAGAAACGCATCCGTGGACGAAATATTTGCATCTCGATTACAGTGTCAAAACACTCTAGCATATTTCTGGTGTACTATAAAAAATATATTTTACAAACATCGATTGGAGGGTAATTTTATATATACACTAGCAAATGTAGAATCACGTCGAGTAGTTCAAGGTTTTGGTTATGAAATTGGAGCAGCAAATATTTCATTCCTTGTACAAATTGATACAAAATTCCCTTTCTGTTCGTTGGAGAACTGATTTATGTGAAAAACCCGTGTCATAAAATATTCACATCAAGAACTCTCGATTTTGTTACCATCGGGCGTTTCTCGACAAATTTGACTTTATTTAAAAACCTTTTTGACCTCCCCCTATCGCAATTTCGCGATCTAGGCTCATTGGAGGTAACGTAGAAAGCCGTTATTTTTACCGTAAAGTTTTTGCTAGAGTTCTTGTACACAAATTTTACGTTTTGGCTATGATAAATCTGCCGCATTCAAATGATTTGATTAATTAAACTTTCATGGCGCGGTAACAGGTGGTAGATTTTGCTATCACCGACCAGAATCACTTTGTTTGATTGAATTTTACTTTGTAAAATCATTCAGAACCTTATCTTTGCAAGCCATAGCCTTTCAAATGATTAGCCTATGTTTTAGGCTAAGAGAAAGCTACTTTGCGAAAAAGGCATTTTAAACGACAAAGTACACAGCCAATTAAAATCTTCACTGTTTTGGCGTCCATACTCGTTTATCTTGCAAACGGCTCTAACATGGCTTTCCGACGCCGAACTAGCGAGCTTGTCAGTGAACAAACGCTTATTCTATTTTAACTCGCCCGCGACGCAAATCGATAACTAATAAAACAAGCGGTGTTTCGTAGACCAAACTAAGAAATGAGTTCTATAATTTACATAGTCGAAAAATATTCTATATCATGAAAGTTTTTCTTACCAGTTTGATTAATAAAACGAGCGGCTTGATTTAAAGTTACCGCTTGTGTGGGATGAAACACACGAAGATTTTAGTTAAATTGAGGCGCGTTTCCTATGAAGGCCTTTGTACGTTGTAAAAGCGATTTCTTCCTCGAAGTTTTTTAGTAGTGTGGTCGATAAGTCGCTCGGATAGAGATTAAAAATGTCGATAGATTCCCGGCGACTGCACTTATCGCACAAACACGGCCCTTCCACCATAAGTTGGTCTGTTTCTTTAGTTTGACTTGCCGTCAACAGCCTCAATGCCAACTGATTCATTACGGATCCTACAATTGTCAGCCCAAAGAAAATGAAAAGAAGGGAGATACCCACGTATGTATGATCAAAGCGCGTCTCTCGGCTGTCTTGGAGAGCAACATAGTCGCCGAACCCTATTGTTGTTACAGTTATAAAACAATAGTAAAGCGATTTAAAATATGTCCATTTCTCGTAGTAACGGAATATAAATGCTCCAAGGGAAACGGTCACCATCATTGCGAACAAACCAAATAAAACTACCATATTCGCTGTATTTGAAACCTCAGTGTTCTTCATACCCAGCTTTTTCTTCACTCGTCGAAACATATGCGCTAAAAACGTGTTCAAACGCTCGCCAATTGACTGAAACATCGTCAGCGCGAGAGGAATTCCCACCGCTGCATAAATCATACAAAATATTTTTCCCCGGTCCGTCTTAGGCACCGTGTGTCCATAACCTGTGGAACAAAGAGAAAAGCTTCACTTTCATATCTGTGTGAATTTATATTGTACAACTTTGTGTTCTTGTACAACAATGCTGTGTGTGGGTGTAGAGGTTTGTATGTTCCCGAGTTAAACCGCTTGCGACAAGCGCTGATTAAACCTCACGAGAATTTGTTTATAATCGCAAAGAGGAAATTTCCCTGTAATTTTTATCGCAGTTAAACATTATTGCACGGAAATGGCAAGAGGAAGCATGTTTCGATATACATAAGTGTCGCTCGGAGTTGTTACAATTGATCGCCAACCTTTAAGTCTAGCGTGCATTGTTAGGGCTATCGTTCGTCTTTGCTAGACATTTAGCCCGACTTATTGCTTTTGGGTACTACCCGCTCGCTTTGATAAAGGACGATAACGGCTTCTAGTGCAGGTGTTGGCCCCCATCTACTTCAGCGCTTCTTGAGGTACTTTCTCTCATACCGCAGTATTAATTGTTGCCAAGCTCTTGCGCATTGGATTCAATCAAGCTAATTTTTTCGCGTCCGGCGCTCGTTAAACCTTACCTATCGTTGTTATTACAGTGGTGGCGAAATAAACTGAGCCGGCGAAACTCCATTGATATAAATCCGCGTCGATGTTTGCTTTGCTATCGAGATATTGGAGCCATTTCTTGATGTCTTCGTCGCTGATGTTGTATTTCTTTGTTAATGTATTGTGAAGAATTGTCATATTCTTTCGCATCTCTTGGTCTTCGTTGTATTCTAAAGCGCTGAAAATTGCCGCGCCGACCAAGAGATAAGATACACAACATATCGTTAACAGTATCGTCCGAAGGTTTTGCGTTTTCATCGCGTTGTCGCTTCATGCACTCGTCATATCTGTCAGCCGCAGAAATCACTTCGTTTGGCGCGTAATTTTGCCAGCGATCTTCTTTTTTTTTTTTTTTTTGTAAGTCTAATGTTTGTACCCAAAAGCCTTGCACATTGTTGCACTGAGTGTCCTGTGATTGGTTATCCTTAAGAACTAATTTGAAGCAATTACGAATGTGAGGAGAGGGTCACTAAAGCGCCTGGTGGATACGAACTCCGTGTCAACCAGCCCAAACCACGCCTATTCCGTTGAATGCGCTGTCATTAGTTTTGCTCTTCTGAGCACAATTAGGTTTGAACCAAGTTTCCAATGTGAAATATAAAAGCGAGGTCCTCTGCCAATAACTCACTGGTCGCTTGTCGCTGTTGGAAGTGCGTGCGTCAAGCGGAGCTGGTTTCAAAAACACTATGAGCGTAAATTAATTCAGTATGGCCCGCATTTGTGACGGTGACATGTGTTGCCATGGAATCCAACTTGTTTTGAGTCGGTTTTAATTCGACGATTTAGTCATAAAACGAATTATTTGGAGGCAGCTTAACTCGTTAACCACAGTTTTTTTCTAAGAGATATTGAAATTTTATAGTTTTACCGAAGCTTTTCAAAGAAGCAGAGAGCTGCGCTATTTTAACCGAATAATCATAACAATTATCATGTAGAAACTTGACAATTCTATAGCCCTTTTTTTGCATGTTATAGCTTTGCTCATTAGTAAAGAAACCATCCAGTTAACATGAAAATTGCAAGTAGCTTAAAAGTTGTTTTTCATTTTTATTTTGAAATTTAGGATCACACAGGTTTGCAAGTGTAATTAATAAAACGCACTACGTGCCGATGTGGTTGAGACAATTTAAATTTCTCGCAAGGTGATCCAAGTTTGGGTTTTTCACGCAGAGAATCGTCAACTATTATTTTGGTTTTTTTGTTTTTCTCTGTAATTTCTCCTTCATAGATTTTCTAACACACTATTACCTTTCTTTCTTTGCGCCACCTATTATGCAAAAACATTATTGCCTTTTATCAATCAATACTTTATTGAAAAAGGCGAATTTGTATACACACCAGTCAACAGGTTTTCTTTACAAGCCTTAGGCGCCGGTATGGAATTAAAGAATTAATCAGTTCCACTTCTGTCTTTATTATTTTTTTAATTGTTACTTGCAATTTTAAAGGCAGTAAGTAAAGACTTGCGTCGGACCTGGAACATTCGAACTTTTTCAGCACGAAAATGTTCGTTATCTTATTAGCACTTTCAGCACCGAGGAAAATAATTGGGTAAGATGTTATTTTGATAGAATAAATTGGACGATTTACAACAATTTGCGAGAAATGTCACAATAAGGTAATAGGTATGCATTTTTCTTGCCCTTTTTTGGTGTTTTTGGTCAGAACGCCAAATCATCTTTAAATTAATTATAACGCAGAATCGTCTGAGACGAAGGATTAGGCGAATTTTAAACTGTGCAGTTTGAAATAGGGTTAATTATTTATTCTGATTTAGCGGGCAAAACATTTTCTGAAGAAAAAGAAAAGAACTGGGATTTTCTGATTGATATATTTCCTTATTCTTATCACTTGTCTGCTAGGCGATGTAGAGAATTACAAGGATAATTTACATTTCAATCATTGAGGAGTGACAGGGCCAAATTAAATTGGACACGGAGAGACTATAGTTTTCAGCCGGTCGTTTTCCATATACGTTTTCCAGCAAACTTACTGAGCCCTCGATTTTGTCTAGATCCCCTCAAGTTATATCACACCAATTCAATTCCTGAAAATCGTCACTCTGGCATCGACAGACCGTGAACAGTTAGATTACGGTGGGAGACTTCCTGTCCACTCGCTTGGGAACTTGATTAAAGTATTTTGGCCCTTAGAAAAATGTAATTTCATAACTCGTGAGCTCATATTAAAACTCTACATGAAGAGTTTAGCAGGTGAATTTCTCTGACTTTTCAATGTATTTTGGATCACCAAAATACTGCCATGTTACACCATTACTTTTCCACCTTCATTGACGCCCGATTAGTTACCGTATAAAGTTTAAGATTCTCCTTTTGACATTTAACTGTTTATATGGTCTAGCCCCTAACTATTTGACTGATTTACTTGGCATCAAAAAGCGATCCAGGTACTCTCTTAGGTCAAACGAGTCTTTATAATTACTCGAAATATTAAGCACCAGGACCCGTCCAACCCTTGGTGATCGTGCCTTCCAATCAGCTGCACCTCATCTTTGGAATGCATTACCTTCGACAATTCGTAACATAAAGACACTGGACACTTTCAAGACTGCTATCAAAACTCACTTTTTTAATCTAGTTTTCAAATAGAATTTTATTTTTATTCATATTTTTTATTCACTTACCTAGGCTATTGTTCTCTTTGAGTGCACTGTGGACTCGTAGGTTCCAGTAGGTTGTTAAAGATAGATAGATACTTTATCATAAACACCTTGCAGCCATAGGCTGAATTACGGAATATTTACAAATACAGATGATAAAAAAGGAGGGATAAAATATTACAACTTCGTCGTTAAGAAAGAAGGAGAATTATCTACATCTTATAAATATGGCTAAAAATAAAACTGTTCTTCAAGCGCTCGGTTTTGCATATGGGGAGAGTGAAATCACTTTTGCGCCTCAATGCGTATCTACAATTCTTCCTTTGGGGGAGAAGGCTGTGGAGTCTATGGGTGGGGTTACGGACTATCTCGTCAAACAGACTGGTTGAAATTTTTTCCCTCCACTCGTGAAGTTTCGGTAGGCCAGCTGTTTCTAGTGCTACACTATATGGCAGCTCAGGATAGATGATTCTGAGTGCTCTTCTTTGGATCCGTTCCAAATCTTCGTTGATGTAGTTTGGTAGAGAACGGTGGAATACAGGACTTGCGTATTCCAAGACGGGCCTAATACATGTCACATAGAATTGCACAAGTTCGCTTGGTACAACTCCGGATCTCTTTAGTTGTCTCAAAAAGTAGAGACGAGAGGAACATTTTCTACTTAGTTCAGAGGTGTGCATGTTCCACTTTAAAACGTGGCTAATGGTCACGCCTAACAATTTGGCACTGGTGACAAATTCAAGGGGTTTGCCATTTAGGACTAGGGGTTCAAAATCATAGTTGCTGTTAGAGAATCCAATTCGTAGTTCTTTGCACTTGGCCTCATTCAGTTGGAATCCATCGATACTCGCTTGTCTTGAAAGGTCGTCCACAGCTTCTTGGAGTTTGCTCTCACTGCCCGTAGTAACTATTTCGGAACAACATGTGTCGTCCACGTATTTCCACAACTCAGCTGAGGTGTCCAAATCGTTAATCATGATGAGAAATAACCAGGGAACTAATTTTGTTCCCTGGGGGACGCCGGATGGTACAGAGCGCCATTCTGAGTGACAATCTTGAGCAAGTTTAACTCTTTGTTTCCGGTCCATCAAAAAGTC